TTAGGTTAACGCAACGAAAACCACGGCAAAATTTGCAAATTCGCCTTTCGATAAGCTATTGTTTGACCGGTGAATTGTTACAAATTACACCATGAACAGACAATACAGTTGAACGGATTGGTAGCTCGAAATCACGTGGTCGTGTTGGCCCGAATAACAGATCGCAGCGATTGGACGCTAGTCGCAGGAATGTTGATGCAGTTATCGGTGCCTCTCAGGGTCAAAATTACTACAACAGTAGTAACTCATCTTCGCGTTGGCGTGTGAATTACAGACGATTAGCCTGCGAGGCATATACTCAAACAATCGACAGCCAGGATCATGAAGCGGACTACAGTGACCGTTACCTCAAGGGAATTGGTCAAGGCCTAATAAACAATAAAACCAGATGTAAACATAATCACATGGAATGTGTGCGGTCTTTATAAGTTTAATGACAATTTAGAAGTAAGTCTTTCTACATTATACCTGATGATAATTGAGATGATTCCCCCATGTCATGTGAATTAACATAGATCAAAAGGCCTGTGCTTAATATGCGTAGTTAATTATGATGTTGAAACTTTAACATCCACGAAGCTGATCAGTGTATGTTAGTCAAAAATAAGGGCGGACGTTTCACTTCACAACCCCATGGTGGAATTCTACTTGTGAAAATCTTAAATATGTTAAACTTAAAGCACTAAGGTAATTTAGAGAACCCAATTCCTATTGGATCTCTATTTAAAGATAAACGTTATTACTTTAAGAACTATGGTCGACTATGTTTTTGCAATTCCAGTTTTCTAATTCAAACATGTTACTTGCTAGCAGCAGTGATCCCAGCTCAACCTCAAGGGCTCTGAATACAAGTATATCCCAATCTGAGTGGTATAGATACTGCAGGACTTTTTTATGATGAAAATGCTTTTGCAACCGTCTGATAATTATATTGACCCTTCTGTAAGTGTTTTTAATGAACCATTTACTCTAGAGAAGGTGCTGAGATCTATAGCAAACTTGTCTGTTGGTAAATGTAGTGGAATCGATGGTATTCCGGCTGAATTTTTAAGACTACTATGGATGATATAGCTCCAATTTTTTAGCATTGTTAAGAACTGGTAATATTCCATTATCTTGGATGTCGTCTGCTTTAACTCCTGTTTACAAGTTTGGATCAAGTCACATTCCTGGAAACTACAAAGGCATATTTATTACAAATACTATGTATAAGATATTTTCGGATAGCATTCATAACCGATTGTACGATTGAACTGAAGAAAATAATAAAATTGATGAATCCCAGGCAGGTTTTCGGAGGGGTAATTTAGCTGTTGATTTTCTGTTTACAAGCAATGGTTAAGAAGTATCTATCTAAAAACTGTGGTTGTTTTTATTGTATTTTGCTGATTTTCGCAAAGCTTTTGATAAAATTAAGCATACTAGGCTATTTGTTTCTTCAGAGAAGAAGGGAATCCACGGTCAATTTATGCATATTCTCAAGTCTTAACATACGGATTTAAAATCATGTGTCAAACTCAATAACCATGTCACTGATTTCTTCTCATGCAATATCGGCACACGCCAAGGGGACAAAACAAGTACGACCATATATGATTTCATTATAGATGAGTGGTCTGTTCTTTACCGGGAAATTGTTGTAGTGGTATTTTTATAACAAATGATATTCCGGATATTTTTGTTTTTGATGTTTGCAAATGATGTAGCAGGGTGTGCCGGAAATGCAATAAAGCTTCAACATAAAAATAAATATATTATCGACATTTTTTGTTGTGATACTTGGATGGCAGTAAACATGGATAAGACTGAAATTACGGTTTTTCGAAATGGTGGTCCTCTTTGTAGATATGAGTACTGGTCGTATCGTGGAACGCAAATCAATATTACCTCTGAGTATAAGTACATTGGTATCTTACTTCCATTATGTTTGCCATGGTCATACGCTCATTCTAAGTTATGAGGCGCAAAGAGCTCTTTTTGCCATAAGGGCTTATCAGAGACATTTTGGTTATTTTTTGTTGTTGATACATTTAAGATGTTTGATTCCATGGTCAAACCGAAACTGTGTTATGCATCTCAAATTGGGGACTTTGAGTATGTAGATACGATAGAATCTATTCATTATAAATTTTGTAAAAGTATTCTATATTTACGTTAAATTACTAATACATGTATGGGTCGTGAATGTGGTAGATTGCAATTGTGCATTACATATTACATAAATTATATTCGGTATTGGTGTAATTTGTTAACCATGCCATCATATAGACATTCAAAGCAATGTTATAACATGTTAAAATATCTAGATGATGTCGGTAGAAACTGCCTGGCAACCAAGGTTAGAACACTTTTGTACAAATATGGATTCAGTGTTATATGGATAAGTCAAGATGTTGGCGATGTCAATGCTTTTATTACAATGTTTAAACATAGAGTTGTTAAATATTGAACAAAATATTGGAAACTATTTGACTATAGATATTCATTTAAAATACAGAATTGCTATGTCAACGTTTCGCCTTTCAAATCACAGGCTGGATATTGAAGTACGAGTATATATAAAAATGTTATTAATGAAAATCGTATATGTAACGTTTGCCAACAGTTATAATTGATTGTCAATACAATGCCTTTTTTAAATGTGTTACATGTGATACTGTGGTATTGTAAGACAAATGTTTTTATTTAGCTGGTATATTCATGGAACAGAACCTCAAGATTTCTATGCTTTTTTGTCTTCTCAAACACTGACATTGTTAAAAATATTTCTCTTTACATCTATCAAGTTATAAATATAGTTACTTTCACAATATACACCTACTTGACATGTTACTATATGTAATACCTTACGATGTCTTTTGGGCGGAAGGCCTATCTGTACAAGTAAATAATTTGAGTATAGTTGTACATATATATGGAGAGCTACTAGAGATGTGTTTGTGGAAAACTTTTACTTATCCATGCCATGAAGGTCTAAAAGTGGGCTTCTTCAAATTTACTATGTCAAATAATTAATAATTAGTGAGAAAAATAAAACTTTCTGTTATTTAACAAAGCCCATTTTCATAACAACTATCTCAATAGGTATTGAGAAATTGCTACCCCGTTGCAACCCCATTGTTTCCTTGAGTAAGAAATTGTTCGCGCATTGCTCCGTACTCACTTCAACAAAGATTTATATTACGAAGTTTATAGCACTGCGGTTTCAGGGACGGATTCTAGACTGTGTTCATATTTCTATGCAATCAATATAAAATAAATTCTGAATCAAGCAAAAAAAGATTTCCCACAAAAATAAATTTGAAAAGTTCTTATTCTTACCGTTTAATGGCGTTTAACCTGTGAAATAATTCAGTACCATATATGAACAAAATACATTTACCGGCGTTAGCACGAAGCACAATGCACGTCCATCGGCATTTCCTCATAAAAACGGCTTTTATTACATTTTATCAGCTTATTTTCAATTTTCTGTTTCACCAGAAGTTTAGTTAATGTCACTTGCCTACCGAAAATCGAAATTATTCGAAAGCTAAAAGCTAGAAAACACGGACAAAACGGTCGTCAAGCCATCATTTTCACAAATGATGTTGTAATGTGAGCAATTTCAAGGAAATAAATTTGATGATAGATAAAGAGTAATGTCTTCGTAGCCGTATGTGGCTTTTCTTTTTTCAAATCGGTTGAATGAAAAATATATTTGCCAGTTTACTTACCGCGTTGGAAATCTTGTCAGGTATCCGCCATTTATTGCACAAAGTCCACGTTACACATTGCAGGAATAATGTGTTATTTTCACATTCCAGCGTTACTGGATATACAAGGTGGAACAATTAAAAATTATACGTGTTGTGCATGACGTCATTATTAAATCTGATGTCATCGAGATCATGCACGTTTTCAATCCTTTTCCTCGAGAAATTCAAGCAGGAAGTTCGACATTTTGCTTTTTTTTACAATTATTTTTGAAATTGATTTAAGATTTATTTATCAGGACGATCATCTTTCTACTTTAAATGGTAGATTAATATTGAATATCTACTAATTTCATAAATTATATCTTGATCTTGTTGTGTACTGTAATCTACGATAATTATTGTTACTTGATCAGCAAGAATGCTAGATACCGTATAAGTGGTTTTTTCTGCGGTGACTTTATTTCTGCGTTTTCTGCGGTCAGTTTCATGACCGCAGAAATAAAAACCGCAGAATATTTCACTCACCTGCTACGATATGTGTCCTGCATTATGACCTGTTTCGTCTACAGTAATAACGACTAACGTATTATAACGGTAAGGGGGTTTTCAAATTGTATTAAATTGCTGTAGGCTTATTATGTAATCTGTGCTTTTAAAGGACGTACTAATTGTTAATGATGCTAATTTAAGAATATAGCTATTTCAAACCATTTCAACCCTTATACTGCTAAATAATCGTCGTCTACTATAATTGTCATCTGATTTACGGTCAACTGCTATCAACTTTTTAATTATAGAATTAAAGATACTACAGGGTTATATTTTTCACACGTCATTTCACGATGATCAAAAGCTGCATACCTTTCTATTGTTGCGCATTATATTTGTTTGCAAGCAAACAGTACATTTGTTTGTAATTACTTTATTGTTTTGCGGTGACGAAGCTAAAAAAATGTGTACGTGCGAAAAAATAGGTTGAGAAATGTGACTTAGATTTTGATAAGACGAGTCGCAGAATTTAAATCACGTTTGTCCAAAGGATGTGCCGCAGAAATAAAGTCCGCAGAAATAAAAACATGCCAAAATTTGGAAAAACCGCAGAATTTGAAGCCCGCAGAAAAAACCACTTATACGGTATACATGTTCTGCATTAAGGTAGGTCTGGATGGCTCTTTATCCATTAACGGACATAAAATACAATGTATTTCGACATTGCATTTTCTTTTTAGCCACTACATAGACTGATAGTTAATAATTTACTTATAAGATTACTTATTAGATCTAATTTGTTATTTTCTTGAGAAAATGCCTCGTTGGAAGAGTAAATCGACGCGAGGGCAATCAAGGTCAGCCACAAGGTCTAGAGGGAGACGGTCCCATCAGACTGAAACCTCCATGCAACCCATTGTAGAGCAGCCGGTAACAAATACCCATGTCCCAGGGGTGTTGGGACAACAGTCGCTCTATCCTTCAAATTCAATGCAAGTACCATATACACAGCAAAGTCAGGGAGCTGTTCCTTCAATGGCCTCAGTATCGGAAAATTTTGCTTCAACTTCACACGGCGGGCAGATGATGTCAACTGCTGGAGAAATGTTCGAGTCACCTGTGGTTGGGCAACCCCCGAGGGTACATGAAACATCAGGTAATGAAAATGTTTTTAATTCGGTAGTAACTGATACGGCTTTCTATGTAAACGCTAGAACGAGAGAAAGAATACTAGTATTAGGTGGAAAATTTGTTGATTTCACATGCTTATAAGAAAAAGATTGCTTCGTTCAAAGTAAATTCTTAAAACTTGTAAGTGCTAGTCTTGTCTGATAGTTCTAGATCTATTAAACATACTGTTTTGTCAATTAAAAAAGAATGGACTGATCCCTTTTTGATATACAATTTATATGAGTATTTTGATTGAAAAACACCCTGAATTAGCCATAGAATTGTTGCATTGTTTAAACACAATATGATCTGCTTCAAAATTAAATCCGATTGTCTGGATAAAATATGATAAATATTTTAGTAATTAAATGTCACAATATCCAAATACAAAATGGTCAAATATTGATGCTAAGATATGGTTGGTAACTATGACGAATCTAAGCTCAAATCAATCAAACAAAATCACTACTATGAATTCTACCGTAAAGGGTTTTGTTCAAAACAGGGTTGTCAATACTTGCATAAATGTAAAAAATGTACCGGGCCGCATTCCGCTTTGGTTTGCAGATCACCTACACTAGAATTTGTAAATGCTTATGGATCTAATAGTAATTTCAGACAAAATAATTTCAGACAACCCAGGTTTGAGCACTTCCCACAATTTGAAACTCCTCGAGCACCTTTGGGACTTAGGCAACACCCCAATAGATACTTTAAGTCTAGAAATGTGGCTCAAAGGCTATAATAAGGAGAATGCAAATTTTTTTATTACATGGATTCAGGGAGGGGTTCAGCGCTGCAATACAGTGGTCCCCACTGCGAATTTACAGCAAAAAATCTGCAGCCGGCGATTAGATACCCGAAAAGTTCAGCAAAAAAGCTTGAAAAAGAAGTACAATTAGGACGCTTTTTAGGTGCTTTAACAATTAAACCATTCGCAAACTTACGTATCAATCCAATTGGGCTAGTTCCCACAAGTACAGTTGGAATGCGCCAAATAACTCATTTGTCATATCCTTATAATGAAACTAGTGTCAACGATTTTATTGATTTGTGAAATAAGATTTTATTGATCGTGAAACAAGTTCGGTTCAATATTCTCGTTTTGACAATGTTATAAAAATAATACAGTGTTTAGGCCCTGGTGCACTTATGGGGAAAAGAGATGTTAAATCGGCCTTCAATCTCTGCCCTGTACAACCTGACGATTTCGATTGATTAGGTGTCAAATTTGATTGCAAGTATTGGATTCAAAAAATGCTTCTGCAACATTCCTTCACTGAGCTGTTTCTCAATATGCAAACTCGTCGACCATTATTTAGATGATTTTGTCTTTGCCGGAAAAGCCGGAACAGAGGATTGCACAAATCTCATGTTGGATTTTGAGTACATCTGTAAAGATATGATTATTCCTATAATGAAGATAAATCAGACGGCCCTAATACAATCCCTACTTATTTAAGCATAGAGATTGATTCTTTAAAGATGAAAAGAAGAGTTCCCTTTGACAAAATAAATCAAGCAAAATCATTTTTATTAGACACCCTGGTAAAACCTTAAATTAAATTGTGAACTGCAATCAATTCTTGGCATTTTAATTTTTTTCACGAAAACAAAACCAGCAGGTCGTACCTTTAACTGTAGATTATACGCTGCACAGTGTCAGGCCAAGAGATCTTACCATTATGTTCGCTTGAATAAAGATGACAAGGAAGATATTGGAACTTGGCTGCAATTTCTTGATCATTGTAATGGTGTGTCAATATAGTGTAAGCACTCCCTTGTTGGTTATCTCTATGTCAGGCATGGTGGGGGATGGTTCGCCCTCAGATTTTGGGATGCTGGATTTGTCCTACATAGTGAAAACGGATTGTTATTGGTTGTTTAGGATGTTAGCTTTGTCGATTGACTCTGCGTATAACTTGCCCTTGTCTTTCAGCGGTGAAACCCTGCAGTTGTCCCTTCTCAACGATTTGATGTAATATGTGAACTTTTTTTGCTTTGATGGCTGTTCTGAAGCTGGATCGTTGGCATCGATTACGTCTCTTAAGTATCGCCAATATTCTTGTCGTTCTTTCTTTTGTGTTTTTCTTTTGGCCTGATGGTATTGCCGCCTATCCTTGAGGGAACCGGTTGATTTGAACTTGGATAGTAGCTTGTTTCTTTTTCGATGGAGTGACTTTACTGTTTTAGTGATCATGGTGTATGTACCTTGTTGCCCGAGATGGTCTTGGAGGGAATGTACCTTGTGACTAACGACTTCAACTAACTCTCAAAAAGCTTCCAAGAATGGTCGCCCGAGCTGTTGACTGTGTCTTCAGGGAACTTTGGAAAATATGACATAAGTTCAGCTTTGAAGCTTTCAAAGTCAGCTGTTCTGTATTGAAGGACATCCCTTGGAGGCTTACGAATGGGGTGGAGACTTGACTCTATGAACACTGCGTCATGGTCGGCTATTCCAGGAAGGACTTTGCAACAGTTAATGAGAAACTGGTTATTGGTGAAGAAGAGGGCGAGGCAGGATTCCGTATACTCGGCTGTTCGTGTAGGTTTGTCAACAATCTGGACAAGGAGGACATCTTTCATAATATCTAAAAGTTGCTGGCATTGCTTCATGGGTGTGGCTTGTAGCTGTAGACACTCGTTGACCCAGTCTATGTCTGCAAGGTTAAAGTCACCGCCCAACCATAAGTGCGCACCCCTGGGTATCCGCTAAAGGCAGATGTCAGCATGTCAAGGTATTCAGGGGCTGTCTTGAATGGAGGCTTGTAAAAAGCACCAACATACAGGTCCCGGTCTCCTTTAACCTTAATTTTGCACCATACCACCTCATATTCACCTGGTGGGTTAAGCTCCGCAGGCTCATCACTTGTGTAAGTGTCGGAAAGAAGCAAGAAAACCCCGCCTCCCTGTGATCCATCTTGGCAGTCGCGCCGGTATGATTAAAAGTGTGGTGGAAAGACTTCAGAGGAGTTAATGCTGCTGTTCAGTCAGGATTCAGTGCCAATAATGATGCCGGCTTCTGTGGAGGCGATCATGTTCTCGAGCTGAGCCTTCTTTCCTGGGCTTTTTATAGACTGGCAGTTAATATTCAGTACTCTTAGTGGCAGGTCATACCATTTCTCTTGTTGGCTACCTAAAGTGGTGCTATGGAGTCTGCGATGCGGCGAATGATCTCTCTGTCAATATTTAAGGTATCGCAACAAACACTAGGTTTGCCCACCCACTAACAAGCTTTACTACAAATAGCACATGGAAACTTGGGCTTTCTAGGACCAGGGTTCGGTTCAATGTCTGCCAACAATAGGAAGCAAAGATAAAGAAGAATAAGCCTGTTATCACAAACTGGGCCTTTCGCTTTCCCCATGTGTATCTTTGTACAAGTGGAAAACTGAATAGATAGACTGTTAAGATTTAGAATAATCGATGATATTCTGACATAGGAACAGATTTTGTTTATTTCTAGAAAAATTCCATTATACCGGTGCCTCATATTTCCGTGGTACTTACCTGTTTAACACAGACAACAAAAATTTGAAAAATAAAATTATATGGAAAATACGTTGACTATTGTAAGAAAGACATTTTATCTCAATTACATCATAGTTTATTCCATTAAATGTATAAGCTATTATGTACATACCATGACAATCAACACCGACCTGCTGCATGGTGAGTAAAGTTGTGTTCTCATATTTCCATGGCAATTACATTTTTACAGTTTGAAAAGCAAACCAAGATAAATCTTTTTTTTAATACATCTATACCTAGACCCGTCCGAAAGTAGGGATTTTCTCTATGGCATTTATCAAAATCTCAACGGTTGTTTAAAAAGACCATTGCCTTAAAAGGTATGAAAGCTAACAATAAATTGGTGAAATAATTTACTTTTTTTTCTTAATCTGAATAAAGTGATAAATTTAAACAGTCGTATTTGTTACATTTTGATAAAAATACAATAGGAAAGTGAAAGCAAAACTCCTGGCAGGTATGTGAATTCTAGGAGACACTTGAGACTGATAATGCCTAATACTTTGAAATTATTGGTACCACGGAAATATGAGGCACCAGTATACACGTATTACAAGAACCAGTTTTTAAAAACATACTTCTTCTAAACAAATGATTACGATAAATTGGTTTCCGAGCAGTTTCCGGTCTAAAATCGCCGCACTTTTAAACAAATAAAATAAAAGAAGGAGTATTAAACTTTGACACAACAAAGTCGGGAACGTGTCCAGCTTTACCATGTTTTCAATGTTGCTCTTTGACTTTTCTTTTTATTTGAATATAGGCCTGAATGTTACACCTTTTTTAACTTATATTCAAAATTTCATAGCAGTTTTCGGACCTTTTTTATTTTGAATATAATTCAGTACAAGTATGAATGGTTGAAATGATTATAACAAAGAAATAGAACTTCCCAACCTTTTACGTGTCGTCTGCAAATATGTTGTTCAAAGGTATTAATTTACCTGGAATGGGGTCTCAGTGATTGCGCATGGGCATTCAAATTAGAAATTCCTCAGGTGTTGCTTAGTTTTAAATAACGCAAGATTTCAGTAAGGTAACTTTAAACAGGAAAAGCTTCATGAGATATAAATCCCTGTACTAGTTGCAAAGAAAACAAATGTCTCTCTGATCCCTTGAAGTACCATAGATGCCCTAGTGGTAAAAATAGCTGAAAACTGCTAAGGACCGGAAACTGCTAGCAAACCAATAGTCCATTTGTCATATATTTCCGCGATGCTAATATAAATTGTTTTATAAATAAACATGTTAAATTAAAATGCTATAGAAAAGTCGAACATTTTGATAGTTTTTGTTGACATTACCCTAATTGTATTGGTTGAAAATTATACGCTAGTTTACCCTTAGTTTACAGTACTTATTGCATTTTGAAACAAGAAGGTAAATAAACGGTGATTGCAATCATAATACTAATATTTTTTATATTAAATTATGCAAAGCCTATGACCAAGAAAGTCGTTTGGTTTTTCATGCACCACTTCCGTTTTCACTTGAAATGCCTCAACGATTATTATTAAGCAGAAAAGTTGAGATTTTTCCGTTATCAGAATATATTTATTTAATTGTTTTATTTGTTTTCCTTTTTAAATAAACACGTGTAGTCTATAGTCGTGCAAGCCAATTTAATACCTGGACCCATTTTTGATTTCCCCGTATCAGCAGGAATATTATGTGACTTTACTCTTTAAAACCATGTTTTAACAAGCAGACACTTTATATGTAAGTAGGGAAAGCCTATGCACTCAGATAAAAAAATGATGTCTTTTTTTAATTGATATTTTTCCTTTAAAGTTACCATTTGCCGATGATTCAGTATTTCATGCACCTCTTCTGTTTTTAATCGGAATACCACAACGATTATTCTTTAGCAAAAAAGCTACTGTTCTGTTACCAAAATACCCCGAAGGTTATCATTGAGTTACATTAAAAACAATGGCACCCAACTAGAAATGACACTGAAAATTTTGCTGATAGGTATAGAAATGTATTTATTTAATTCATTTTTGTTTTTACTTTATTTTCTTTTAAATATACATTTGTAGTCTAGCCAGGCAAGCAAAAGTAATGTAAAATTAAAGACTTCCCCGTATAACAGTAAATAAAATGTTGCTTTTTTCGGTTTGATGTCTTAAAAAAATGAGTAGACTACATTATTAATGCTTTAATGTACAAACTGAATGGGGTATGAATATCGGTGATGTGGTTTTATTGTGAATTAATTTGGAAGCATCCATTACTGTTTAAATTTACCTTTTAATTTATCGATTTTCTTCCTTCTTGGAAATGATAAAAAAATGCCAGTTTTACTTTTACTGATTGAATGTAGAAAAAACAAATTTATAGAATATCTTGTGACTGTGTGACTGAATTATCTTTCTTCAAAATGGCGGCTCCCACAATTAGCAAACGTCTTTTATTTTTATTTTTTGGACTTCTTAGTAATTATACAATTATACAAGTTGCTTATAGGATATAAAGGAGAATATAACCTGAACTTTCTTTGTTTTGGAAGGAAATGAATCTCAATATTTGATTAACGCGATACTATGTTTTAGATGTTATGCAAAACACTCATTATAATATTTATGTGTAACACAATTGATATTGGATGCCTCCATATACTGTATTTGATACAGGACAAGTAATAGAAAGAGCATCGAAACACGAGGCCATCTGATTTGTTTGGTTTAAACATATTTATTTAAGCTCGATTGCGAAACAAGTTCTTGCAACTTATATTAATCACTTTCGAGTCTGCTTCCTGGAACCAACCAGTACTGGTGTCATATGAAGAAACATGGTCGTGACCCGAGTAGGGCTAGAACCCATGATCTCTGGGTTGAGAGGCAGACACCTTAACCATTAGGCCACTGCTCCGCTTATCTGATTTGTTTGATGGGGCGTAGCCCTAGAGTATTAATCACATTGCCGAGTGTTTTGATGTTCTTTCTCTTTCGTATTATTGACAAACATGAAAACACGTTCCCTGTTATTACAATATGAAACCTCAGAAAAAAGTAACAAATGAACAAACATCTGAATATGATATTTCTATCGCTTTCCCTTTCTCTGCCGTTACAATAAGTAAACCACAGCAAAGATGAGCCAATCAATAGGCATGCTCTAGAGTGCGGGTAAATAACACCTGCACTCCAGTTAACGCACTGTGCTTGTATATGTATACAATTTAAAACAGAAAGGTACCCAAACTATGATACAAATAGAATCACAATATATAGATACATGTAAATGAAAATTTCAACTTTCAGTTTCAGGAGTAAACATTGTAACGCCACTCAACCTTGATCCACCAAATTACTGGTTAAAATGTCCTCAGAAGGGAGATATTATAATCGGTAAGTGAATACTTGCAGTAAGCTATAAGAGTTTTTTCTCCGCACATTGAGAACATGACCTGACCTCCAGAATTGGGATTTTTTATGATGTTTCAATAAAACAAACTGTTTTTAAACTTCTTTTATATTCCACTCATTATCACATATTTCAACACGGAACATACAAAATTACTATTTTCTTTGATGTAGTACAATTAAATGTAACAAAGTGACAAAAATTTTACTTATTTTAATAATTGTTTCTTCAATGGGGAGATTTTTTCCTAAAAACAAAAACAAAACAAAAACATATTTTTTGGCATTGGGGACATGACCCAATATATCGGTCATCAAAACGGGCCAGAAAAAACCCTGCCTGCTGAATATGCTAAAAGTGTATAAAGCGAAAGTGAAAAAAATGTAATATTGTATGAAAAAGAAATATGTTAGCATACTTCTTGAGTAAATTGTGCATGCACAGACTATCATTAATAAATGATTAAAACCTACTTAGAATATCAGCATAATATTTTGCTTCGGAATGTTTTATTCTGTTTACGCACATTTTACAAGTGTAAAATTTCCTTGTTAATTTATCGTTCATGTAAAGTAAGTTCTAGCATTGAACTGAATTATTGCAAAATGTAAACTTACCTTGAATGCCACTTAAAAGTGATTCATTCCAAATTAATGCTCATACTAACATGTTATTATATTCATAATTAAGTACAGTGTATATGGTATACGATTTGATAAGAATTATTATACATGTATGTCAAATAAAGATACTAGTATTCAATAAATTTGTTTCAGACAAATTTATTCCATTCAAGACACCGCTGGACAGTAAATTTGTCATTGATCTTGAAAACAGATTCGACTTTGATGAGTTGTTAAAGTCATTAGAGAATCCTGAGGTCAGTTTATTTATTATGTTTAAAACTTCAACTACTGTCGTTATAAACAAATACCTGATTTTTTTTTAAAATGAAATCTAAAGTTAGTCAGTCAACACTATGAGAAACTGGTCATGTTTGGTTCTAGCTGGTTAAGGATTGGGACAAGGTAGGTAAGGCAGTTAACTTGCTAAATTTTCATTTATTCTTGTATTGTCTTGGCTTAAAATGTAGACGACAATTGTGAATGCTTACATTTTTTTGTCTTGGTTAATGTTAAACTTGCTCATGTGAAATTTGATTTTGAAACAAATTATTTCACTTTCAATTCCCGGGAAAATCAGTACTGATATTAAATAAGAAAGTTGTGACACCGCTCGAATTTATGCTTCTCTGTGTTTAAGGCAGACACTTTAATCTGTTGTCAATGCGGTTGCCTTTTGCTTTTTGCAAACTTGTAACTTGATCATAACTTTTTTAAGTTCTTAATGTATTGACTTCATACTTGGCCACATCAACCCTTGGCACAAGACCCTTATGTCGACCAGACTAACATTGACCTTAATTCATAAATGACCATAAAACTTCAAGGTTAAATATCTAAATTTTGCTCTCTTTTTTGCCGAATTTTATGATTCCCGAAGGGAGAGCATATAGTCGCAGCCATGTCCTTCTGTCCGTCCGTCGTCTTGTGCTCTTGTGAGCATAAACCCTAAGAGATGATTTTTTTTAAAAACTTTACACAGTGGTAGAGGACATTAAGGCGAAAGCAGTGTCAAAGAACCATTACTCTAACAATTTAACCAAAGGTCATTAACTTGACATTGCCGGTCAAGGTCATTTAAAGGTCAAGAGTTTCCGCTGATAATCTTGAAAAGTACTCATCACAAAGTCTTCATATTTCACATAGTGATTTGTCATTTCTAGATGATCCAAATTGAATTTGGGGTCAAAAGGTCAAATGTCAAGGTCACAAGGTGCTTGAATTGTTTTATGATGTCTGCTTATTATCTTGAAAGATTTTTAACCAGCAGATGAACTGTATTGCTTTTGGGGTCATTAGTTCAAATGTCACGGTCAAAGGGGCCTTAAATGTCAGAATGGTTCCGCTTATTATCTTGAAAACTAGTTATCACAAAGTCTTTATATTTCACATACTGATTGGTCATAACTAGAAAGTGACCCTATTGATTTGGGGTCACTTGGTCAAGGTCCAGGTCACAGGGTTCTTGAAAGTTATTATGGTTTCTGTTTATAATCTTGAAAGCTATTTATCACAAAGTATTCTTATCATATTTCTAATATTGATTGGTCTTAACTATTGACCCTATTGATTTTGGGTCACTAGTTCAAATGTCAAGGTCACAGGGGCCTTAAATTTCAGGATGGTTTCCGCTCATTATCTTCAAAACTATTTAACACAAAGTTATTATTTTCTTTTTTCAACAATTGAACTCTTCTATGTACCCATTTATGGCAAGTTTCTACAACAAAATTACCAATAATAAGAGTCAAGGGCTAGAAAGGGGGCATATGTGTCGGATTTGATTCATTTGTAGAAAAAACAAAACGTGTGACCAAACAGACATGTAGAATAATTAAGATATGACCTTGACATTTAAATAACCTTGACTGTCAAATGATTGAATTTCGATTATATCGCCTTAACATTTATGGAAATAATACAAATAAGTGTGACTAGACAGACCTCTTAAAATAAAAAAAAATAACTTTTTTTCTTTAATTTTTTTAAAGACTTGTTTAAGCTAATATTTTTTTTACTCTTAGAAAAAGTAAAAAAGTCGAATGTGCCCCTGACAAGCGCTTGCTCATGTTATATAAATCGTTTCATAGCATTGTCATATAAAAATAATTAAGGTTGAAAATAAAACCTACCGACAATAAAATACATAAACAATAAGGAAACCCCTCGATACATCTAATCTATCGTCCCGCTCTCAATACTTAAATAAGTGAAACTGATTACCTGCTGCCAATTGTGTTAGCATCTAATTAAAAAAAAAAATAAAGTTAAACATACAAGGTGATATTTGCTTTTTAAGTACCTTAGGGTGTCTGTTACAAAACTTTTTGAAAAGAAAGGATTACTTTTTGGATTCAGTTTTCATAATATTACATCTTTTGCGGACTGTGTGGGTAGGGAACGGATGTTACAAAGATATATGTTAAGTCTGAATATCTTAAAGGTTATAAAAGAAATTGTATTATTTCTCTTTATTTTATTTAAATATTATGTATTCTTGTAAATGTTACAAAACAAATTCAGAAAATTCAACTAAGATTTAAAATTATTTGCTTTAAATTTTCAGTATTTTTCCTGCAAATGAAATTTTCAATCATGATAGAAATAAAGAAAAAAAAACAAGCCTTTAGGATAGGTACACCAAATCATACTTAAGTCAAATATGCAAACACATATTATATAAACAGTAAAAATTATATCACTTTCTTATGAAACTTTGAAACTCTCATTACTAAATAGACATTTTAAGGTTATTCATGTGGAATGTTAGCAGCATTATCCAAAGATGTCATTATGATTCAGTGTCATAAGCTCATTATTGGCGACGCCGGTGAGGGTCGTCGGCTCTTATGGAATGCTTTTTTGACCCATGGTAGGAGATATTATTATTAGCAGTTAAATGTCATGTTGTGTTAAATACCTTTTGATTCGTAAAAATCAAGTAAACAAACATGTTGTTATATTTGTATTTAATAACTTTATGTAAAAAGCATGTGCATTGTGATATTGTTGTTATGCCCCGGGCATATAGTAATTGAACCGTCTGTCTGTCCGTACGAGGTTAACCTAAAACAGCAAGTTTGATTTTTCTTAAGTAGTACCTATACCAATGGCTTCATACTTAACACACTTGCTTTTCAACACAATATACATGATCTGGGCAAGTTATGGCTTTCATTTTTACCAAGTTATTGCCCTTTTCAGCACTTAGAAAATGAAGAAATGGTTAACTTAACACGGCCAGTTGATATATCTAAAACCTGTGCCATCCATTTTCCCAATTATCTCCCTTTTTATCACTTTGAAAAAAGGAGCTTGTAATGTTAACCTATTCCGGCAAGTTGGATTTATCTTTAATTTCTCCTAATTACTTTATTTATTTAAGGATATCTTTTATATTTGGTAGATTAATACATTTAATAGTCCACGTCGCATCCTTGTATTGAGATAGGGATCATTTGGGTGAAGTGACCAGTGCTAAAATAGATTTTTACACTTTTTTATACAGGCTTTGTTGATGTTTTTTTCACCAATGTCCCATACTTACATGGAACATACCTAATGTGTAGTCTTTAAGTTCGGTCGGAGTTTGGGATCGCTGGGTTCAAGTTAAGGTCTTGCATTTACATGTATATATGATAATGTTGAATATTTTTTAACTTCATCATAAGTCATAGAAATGACTTGCGAACTTATATTTTTCACAATAACAAAACGCTATGACTCTGTCAAGTTATATGTTATATGTGTTTACATTTTTTAATTTTTTTCCGTCCTAATTGAATTGTTAAATATTTTAATATTGTTTTTGACAAGAATTTGAGCCGGGGGCATTTGTGTTTAACAAGTACCAATGTTAGTAGGATTTCAAATGTTTAATAGAAGCTGGGAATTATTAATGTTATGTGCATACATGTATATCTTAGTATAAGGATATGATGAGACTTATAATATTTCTGTATTTAAAGAGTTACAGTTATGACATAGTTATAAAAGGGTTGAGACTTGCATTAAAGTTTATAAATGATAATACATGTTCTTATAAGTCTACAGGTTATAGGTTTATACCCAGTGTTAGCTGGCTAATAATAGTATCTGTATTAAAGTTAAAGGGATATTGTAAAGGATGACTTAGCCTTGATGTTTGTGGTTTATTTTTTGAACTTTGAGATTTGGCAGGTTACATAATGACCTATCCAGAATTGAGATTAAATAAGTATCCATTACTAGTAATCACAGGGTCCATGGTGCAATTCCACCGGTCGGTTGCATGACAATATAGATATATATTCCACACTCACTGGGCTAGTAGGTTAATTCTGGTCTTTTTAAGGGAAGAAAATGTCCTTAAACTTAGATCAAGCTATATAATTTATAAAGTCTCAAAAATATCATATTCTGAATAGTTATTTTGATTTTTCCTAAGATGCGCATAGTGTTAACAGGACAGCTCCTGTTTTATCTTTTTGTAATAGGAGGACACCGGTCTCAAGCTTCAGGTCTCGGGCAGAGTCAACCCAACGGAGACTTTTCATTGAGTAGATTGTTGCTTGCACTTGAATTTATGGACAAAATTTTGTTATGGGTGATTTGTGCCACATGAAAATCGACAAAGTACAAAAAGTAACCAGGCGCCTGAAAGAACATAAATATACAAAAAAGTGGTTCGTTTGGTGTATTTTCGGTGCCCCCTGATGCAAAATACAACATGGCACAAATCAGCTTTCATAAAATTTCTATCTAGAAAAATTGTTAGTTTTTTTATCGGCACAGATAATTAGATATTGTACATGTATTAACTCAGTTATGTTCATTTTTAAATTGGCCATATATAAATAATCGCACAACCAATAACTGTCTAAGCCTTTTGTAGTAAAGATAATTATACAATTGTTATTTTAATTAAGACAATGAGTATGTAAGTTTTTCGTTTTCTTATTTGTATTAATTAAGCATAAATCGACCTGTTAATTAAGACATCTACAAGTATCTGTCATGGTTTAGAACTGTTCACTATTTAGTTGGGGAGTGTAAGAAGCCAGATAGCGCAATTTCTACAGCCGCAGTACATTATTCTGTGGGTCACGGGTTCGAGTTCTGGTCAAGCTGCACGTTTTTCTCATCCTGTGACTGCATTTTACCAAGAGTTTAATTGATTATGCTCTGTAAACATCAGAAATTCGGTAACAAATATCAATACATTGGGGGAAAGATGTTATGGTTTAGAATAGATATATTGTAGCTGGTCGGATAGCTCAGTTGGTCTTCTGACAGCTATGGGGTTGAGTCACGGTCAGACAGTTTCAGTCAGGGTTTAGAAGGGGGTTTTCAACTGACACATGTTTTATTAATTTAACAGGCTTTTTTAAATTGTAAATGGACAAAGGCAGTATTGTATGCATAATACTTTAGGATCTACCAAAGGCATTTGATACAGTTGATCGCACTATACTGCACATGAAACTTCAAGCATCTGCCATAGGTAATGACATTCTTACATGGTCCAAAACTTATCTCTGATTTTTAGACAGAAGCTGGTGGATGTGGCTGGTACAAGTTCTACTACTGTTCCAAGTGCCTATGGTATTTTTTGGGTAATGCTATCATAAAAAACTTTTTGGCACATTTGCTTGATAGTAAGTTCTTTGAACAGACACAAAAAGTAATTGTAAATGCAATATAGTTTTTGAAAAAGCCTGCATTACATGTATTATTTTGAAAAATTGGCCCATTTGCTGTACAACAGGCATGATGCACTTTTCCAAGATAAAATTACTGAAATACTCAGTTTGAAACAACACATTTTTTTTCCAACAGTAAATAAAACCTGAAGGCAGCTGTAAGAGAAATCAATTGAAAGAGAGAGAGAGAGAAATATACTGGTAATGGCAAGAATTTTTTTTGAAACAATTTTTTATTGTAAGATCTTTCTTTTTTTATTGGACAAACATCAATGGCATATGTTTCATATTACAGAGAAATCTAGGCCTTGTGGTGGATCTGACAAATACTAACAAGTATTATGACAGTAATGCAGTGATGGCGACGGGGTGTGAATATGTGAAGATACAATGCATAGGGTATGATCTATGTAATTATGGATGAGATGAATAAAATTTGAACAAAAAATTATCTCAGACTGTTAATGCTTGTTTGTGTATCGGTACATGATTATTATTCCCTTCCCTACTAAATATTTTAATGGCCTCACTTGACAAAACCATTTATCATTTTAAGCGGAAAATTTCAAAATGAATATTAGCTTAATAGTGAACAGTGCTGGCCATGATTGGATGGCACAGATGTGACGGCTGATCTTGGTCTGTACTTGCCACATGGGTAGAATCTGTTGTCACTTGCAGGCTATGGGTTAATATATCAATTAGTCAAACAATTTATCTTGTTCCAGACTTTAGTTGTATCAAGATAGTAAAAAAGCTGGTATGTTAAAGGAACATTTTTCAAATATTATATTTAAAAGCTTAAAAAACATTTGCATATAATATTTGTACAGTAAGAACTTTTAACATTTCTGTAAGAATTACAATTTAGAAAAAGGTACACATAGCTGTAATAAACAATTATAAATTAATTTTACTCACAATTAGTATCTTTTAACATGTCAGACATTTTGTTGTATAGCGTTTAATAAAATGTGAATTATATTTCTTATGGACAAGATATAGTTTCATACTGTTAAGTTCTTGTAGAAAGATTCCATGAGTGTTTATACTATCGGCACGTTAGTTACTTATCAAATAAGTATTATATATCCTTAAGCCAATAATTGTAAAAATCAAACTAATTTGCCAAAGATTTGATATCTGCGTTTCTTCGAAACTTTAACCTTGTACAATATTTTTGAGATAAAAAATATGTTCACAGATTTCTAGCGACTTAAAAGTTCCAATAATTCTTTTCCAGAAAGAAAGCATTTAGTGATTGAAATGTTCTGTGCTATCAGTACAATTGATTAAAATGCATTTCGGATTATTCTTCAATTTTCATTTATATAAGTTATCCCCTGTCGGTATTATATTATGAACGATTAATTACGGAACTGTTTATATCTATTGTCAATGTTTGATTTTATATTCCACGGAATGTCATGTTCAACTAAAATTTCCCATAAGCGATGAATGTATGCTTTTTATTACTTATTTATTGTTTCTAAGTATGTTATAAATTTCTTTGTTGAAGTTTGATTCTTTTATGAGTAAAGGAGATAAGACAGTATTAACCCTAGCTTTGATTGATTTGTCAAATCTTAAGACGAATTTCCAGAATTGCGGTATAGCATTTCGTAGCGTATAGATTTTGGATAGCCAATTTGATTTATGTCTAAGTTTCGAAAGAATAAGATGTTCACTGATCTCGTCATTTGCATCAATAGTATCATTTACAAAAATTATGTAAGAATTCATACAATTATGAAAATATAAAGATTTTATATTCCATACAATTTGTTTATTACTCCCGTTAGGAATATCAAAGAAGTGTTTTGGCTACTTTTTATTAATATTTGATATAATCAGTTCTTAAGAAGTTCTTTGTAGAAATCAAATAAAGTATGATAGTCTTTTGGTAAACTTGAGATAGATTTCATGTAAAAAGCTAAAAATTCTTGCCGAATTTGTATAAGAAATAACCTCTAGCTCTTCTATTTTCCGAAACAAAAGAAATGAGTATAATGTCACTTTAATGCTTACTTGGCAAAGTGTGATTGTAAATATAAAAAATAAAGAGCATTAACAAAACACAAGTAATTTCCCCGCCGTCAAACACACTGTCCGCATCCTCAATGAAATAATTCCATAGAATCATTATTAATTCATTATTTTCAGCCATGGAGCAACTCCCTCAAAAGAACAGACTGCGCAATTTATACAGATTTGTGATAGATTTATCGAGCGGAAACCTAATAAAATAATAGGTATATTTATAAACATATCACTGGTAAAATGATAGTTGATAAAGTTTTGTGAATTTTATCTTGATTCCTGATATTTAAATCCAACGAGCTTACGTAATGTCGGTGGTTCTACTCAGGTGCCCGCTAGTGCCTTGCTCTTCATCTACCAGTAAAGCTGAAAGTCGCCATATGACCTGTACAATATTGTTGCGATGTAAAACCCAACCAAAAGGAAAAAGGAAAAAATAATGATACTGTAACTTAAGAACTTGTCTAATTACATTTAGTTGAAGGTCAGAAATGATAACTATTAGTTAGGCCAATAAAAAATAGTTTGAAAACTCCAAAAGGCAAAAAAAGACGAAGATGGACATTTAAAAAAAAAGTGGTTACGTAGGGAGACCTTAAACAGAACGTTTGCTTTTACTCTATTTAGGAGCACGATATTGCTGTTAATGATGTTCTATCTGACAATACCCAGTGTTTCTCAGTCCGAACAGATACAAAACATAAAGAGCAGGGAAATTGTGTAAATAATTGACCCCAAAATCTACATGTATTCTCTTTGCTGACAAGATTCAAAACATACAGCGGTTAGATTGTTTAAGGAATTAACGCATAAACTAATAAATTTGTATAATAAACTTGTCCTTCCTTGAACTTTACATTGTTAATGTAAGGGTTTTTGAATTGAGAAAAATAAAAAATAAGAGCTGCAAACTAAGCAAACCAGTAAAGATGTCTTACGTACTGTATAGATGTTATGGCTATCATTGTTGCCTGCATTGCTTCAGCAGTGCAAGTGTATTGGGAAGAGCTCTACATTGATTTTTAGGGCTGGTTTGGGTCGAAAAGTCCTCTCTTCACAAAATATAAAATAATGTCTCAAAAATTTTTTGGAAAACATATTGTTTTTGCCTTCGCCGTCCGTCCGTCCAATTTTTCATCTGTCCGTCCGCCCGTCCTCATAAAGATTGTATAATGGCTTTTACAGGTCAAACTTTTGGTGCGATTTCAACCAAACTTTACAGGAATGACCAGTCCCATACATAGTTGTGCACACCAGCGGCGCATTTTGCTTCACTGCACTAAATGGCCACCAGAGCTACAAATAGAAAAAGTCATGTCCGGCCGTCACAGTTCAAACTACTATTGGAATCTCAACCAAACTTGACAAGAGTGACCAGTACCATCCCTTATTGTGCACGTCGCCGCCACGTTCCGCTTCGCTGCACAAAATGGCCTCAAGATCTATAAATAGATAAATCTTGTCTGGCTATCACAGGTCAAATTGCTGGCGGGATTTTAACCAAACTTTACAAGAGTGACCAGTTGTATCCTTAGTTGTGCACATCGCCGCCACGTTCCGCTTTGCTGCACAAACTTGGCGCAAGAGCTAAAAAGAGGTCAAACTACTGGTGGGATGTGAACCAAACTTTACATGAGTGATCAGTAAATCTCAAGTTGTGCACATCACCATCACGTTTTGTTTCGCTAAACAAAATGAACAACAGAGCTAAAAAAAAGAAAAATCTTGTCCGGTATTCACAGGTCAAGCTACTGGTGGGATTTCAACCACACTTTCTTAGAGTGATCAGTACCAGCCTTAGTTGTACACATCACAGGTACGTTCCGCTTCACTGCATGAAATGGCCACCAGAGCTAAAAATAGAAAAAAATCTTGTTTGGCTTTCACAGGTCAAACTATTGGTGGGTTTTCACCCAAACTTTACAGGAGTGGTCAGTACCATACCTAATTGTGCACATCACCGGCACGTTCCGGCTTCGCTACACAAAATGGCCACTACAGCTAACAAGAAATGTTGAACGACATATATGAGCTCTTGACTCATTCTATTGGTAATTTTGTTATAGAAAAATGCTATAAATGTGTTCAGTTATAAAAAAAAAATGACCTGAAACTGAACGCAAGCTATCATTAATAAGTTATAAAAGTTGGAGGGTAGCTGGAACAAAATATATATAATCATATAAATGTAACCATTCTGACATTTAAAGCCCCTGTGACCTTGACATTTAACCTAGTGACCCCAAAATCAATAGGGATCATCTACTGGCTATGACCAATCAGTACGTGCAAAATGAGACTTTATGATGAATAGCTTTCAAGAAAAACAGCAGAAACAATTTTTACATTTAAGGCAACTGTGACCTTGATCTTTGACCTAGTGACTCCAAAATCAATAGGGGTCATCTACTAGTTATGACCAATCAGTATTTGAACAATGAAGACTTTGTGATGAATAGTTTTTAGGATAATCAGCATTATGAGAAAAGTAACCCCAAAATCAATAGTGGTAATGTAATTGTTTTGACCAATCAGTATGTGAAATACGAATATTTTGTGATGAATAGTTTTCAAGATAATCATCGGCAACCATTCTGACATTTAAGGACCCTGTGACCTTGATCTTTGATCTAGTTACCCAAACATCAATAGGGTTCATCTGCTTGACCTTTGACCTAGTGATCCAAACATCATAGGGGTTATCTACTGGTTATGACCAATCAGTATGTGAAATATGAAGACTTTGTTACAAATAGTTTTCAAGATATTCAGTGGAAACCTTTCTGACATTAAAGGACCCTGTGACCTTAATCTTTGATCTAGTTACCCAAACATCAATAGGGTTCATCTACTTGACCTTTGACCTAATGATCCAAACATCAATAGGGGTCATCTACTGGTTATGACCAATCAGTATGTGAAATATGTTTGTTATAAATTTTTTTAAAGATATTCAGTGGAAACCTTTCTGACATTTAAGGCCACTTTGATCGTTACCTTTGACCTATTGACCCGAAAATCAATAAGGATCATCTAAATGTTATGACCAATCAGTATGTAAAATATAAAGACTGTGTAATGAATAATTTTTAAAATAATCAGCGGAAACCATTCTAAACTTTAAGGTCACTTTGACCTTGACCTTTGACCTAGTGACCTCAAAATCAATAGTGGACATTAACTGGTTAAGGCCAACTAGTATATGAAATATAGAGACTTTGTGATGAATGGTTTTCAAGATAAACAACAGAAACCATTCTGACATTATTGGTCACTGTAACCTTAACCTTTGACCTGGTGACCCCAAAATCAATAGGGGTCATCTACTATTTATCACCAATCAGTATATGAAATATGAAGACTTTGAAATGAATATATTTCAAGATAATTTGCGGAATCCATTCTGACATTTAAGTCCCCTGTGACCTTGACCTTTGACTTTATGACCCCAAAATCAATAGGCATCATCTACTAGTTATGATCAATAAGTATTTGAAATATGAAAACTTCTTGAGAATAGTTGTCATGATAATCAGCTGAAAATATTCCGACAGACCGACCGACCGACATAAGTAAAACAATATACCCCATCTTCCTCGAAGCGGGGCATAAAAATAGAAGAATTTTGTCCGGATTTCACAGGTCAAACTACTGGTGGGATTTCAACCAAACTTTACAAGAGTGATCAGTACCATCCCTTTTTGTGCACATCGCTGGCAAGTTCTCCTTCCCTGCACTAAATGGCTGCCAGAGCTAAACATAGAAAACTCTTGTCTGGCTATCACAGGTCAAATTACTGGCGGGATTTTCACCAAAATTCACAGGAGTTCAGTACCATCCCTAGTTTTGCATGTCACGGCATTTTCCGCTTTGCTGCACGTAATGGCCGTCCGAGCTATGAATAGAAAATTTTGTCCGGCCTTCACAGGTCAAGCTACTAGTGGGATTTTAATGCAACTTCATATGAGTGAATTTTTCCATCCCTAGTGCATATCGCCTGCATGTTCTTCTTCGCTGAACAAAATTGCTTCCAGAGCTAAAAATAGAAACAATCCTGTCCAATGATCACAGGTTGAACTGCTGGTGGGATTTCCACAAAAATTCACAGGAGTGATCAGAACCATTCATTATTTTGGGTGACATATCTTTTTGTTTTCCATTGCTTCTGAAATAGCGTTCCATTTTGATTTATTACATGTTAGGAAAGGGGTGCAGTCTATTTTGAATTATGTTTTATGAGCATATAAGAGTGAAAATAGATATCAATCTGTTGTTTCCTTGAGCAAGAACTTTACACTAATTGCTTAGTACTGGTTAGCTCCAGAAACGGATTTGACAGAGTGTTTCAAAAATAGTATACTGCTTCCAACACAATCAAACTAAAATAAATCCGTATAAATAAAGACATTAACTTTTCTTGCATAATACGGTAGAACGATATATAATGAACAATTGTTTGTTATTTCAGGTGTACATTGTACTCATGGTTTTAACAGAACGGGCTTCCTCATAATCGCTTATATGATAGAACGGCTGAACTACAGGTGAGTTTAAACAACTGATGTTCTTACAAATATCTAAACTATTCTTAACATTAAGTGGTAGTAAACTTGCAAGGTGAGCAGTGGCCAAGTGGTTAAAGTGTCTGCGTTTCCACATGGGGATCACGAGTTTGAGGTTTACTGGGGTCACAACCGTGTTTCGTCATATGACACCAATACTAGCTAGTTCCAGGAAGTGGAATGGAACGTCATTCAAACAAGCTTGAAGATTTCATTACAATTAAAGATATACAATGTGCTCAAATTTGATGTTTGAAAATATTGTTATTTGCTACATAGTCTCTTTGTATGTATAAAATATTAATGTTTTGACTTCACATGAAGTAGATGTGTTATGCTTTATACTCTACATAATATAGGTAGTTACAATATAATATATAGTGTCATTAAAAAAAACTGGCAGTTTTTTTAAACAAAGTGCCAACTTTACTTGACCCGCAATAGAGAATGCAACTTTCAATGCATAACTTGTACATTCTTTTATTTAATTTGGACATATTCTGTAAGAATTTCATAGATTTTAAAAATTTTCTGCCATTAAAAATTTTAATTCACAAATAAGCAAAGTATATCTACAAAAATATAAAATATATATATTATATAAAGTATTATATATAGATCTATAGGATTATAGATTAAAGACATAATCTAGAATTTTTCACAAACAATAACTTCTTTTATATACAATATCATATAAAGAATGGAAAATTTATTTTAAGTTTGGTATCTGTTCATATTGTATGATTTTGCTTGGCATTGTGTTGGATGTTTTTGCATCTGTTTTTCTCTATTTTATTATATACTAATTATTAAATATTGAGAAATATTGTTGAAATGGTGTGCGTGTTTTCATTTTGCGTATTTTCACTGTTAAAATTTATGTTTCACTGCAGTGAAACATATTTTCCGTATTTTCACTGGTATCTTGCCGGACTACTTTCTTTTAAATTCTGCCAGTATATAAAATTTAAGGGAAAATCTTTCAAATTGTAATGTCAAAAAAGAGAAATATGTATATAATTAACAGAAAATTCGAGTTTTTTTTCTATAAATACATGATTTACTTTCATCTTGTGGCATGTAAATTATCATGTTTCACTCATGGCTACCGCCACTCATGAAATGTATATTTTCATACCACTCAACGAAAATAAATCATGTATTTCTAGGAAAAACTTGAATATCCGTATATCTGTATTTAACCCTTACCCCATTAAATATCTTAAATGTACATGTCCATTTTGATCTGGACAAGACCGTTTTTCAATTTTAGGGAACATTTCAAAATATGAACTCAATGAATAACGCATACTGCAGAGTCTGCACTAGTCGCAAGTACAGAATCTGTTGCTTCTAACAGAAGCAGACCTGGTGTTCATGTGTGTTTTTTATTATAATTATAGACATATGTATATAATAAAGATTTGAATATTTTGCATTGTAATATTACAGTTTAAACAATGCTGTGCAGTGTTTTGCTGAGGTATGTCTATGTAAAATATGTTTTAGTTTATACAGAATTTATTTGTTTTAGATTTTGTAGGAAGCTATATGCTTACTCCAACTCACCAGTACTATATAATGAGTGTACAATTTTTCTTGCTCAAGGAAACAAAACATCATTCTTTCAGTTTATTAACTTCTGCATGATTTTTATCCAGAAACAAGAAAATATCTTCAGTTAATAAAGACATCTCAATATCCTACTTTTACCTTTAATGTCTACAGTAGCCTTTAACCTGCCAAATTTCATTAAAAGACTCTTCCAGCTCCTTTTTTAAATTAAAATTTAGCTAAGTCATGTTGCACATTTATTGACATTGATTTGTTTACATGAATGTTAACCGTAGATTACTGTTTCTCAACCAATTGCAACAAGGGAAAATTATAAGTCAAATAATAAGTAAGAATATGATTTATATCTCCATATCGTAGGCTCGGCCTCAAGGCATATACAAACAAACATATTTACGAGAGTTGTACGATCGCTATAAAAAAGAAGGCGATACACTACCAGTGTCTCCCGGTCTTCCTGAATGGCATGATGGTACGTATTGATGTTTAAAGCAGCCTTCAGCTTTTATTTTCTTCTGGAAAAACAATTCTGTATTGTTTCAAACTCAAAGTGACAAGGTGAGCTTTTGTGATCACAATTCGTCTGGCGTCCGTCCGTCAGGCGTCCGTCCGTCCGCACATCCGTCCGTCCGATGTCCGTCCGTCCGTAAACTTAAATTTTAACGACATCTCTTCATAAACTGCAAAGCCAATTTCATCCAAACTTCACAGGAATGTTCCTATAGTGGTAACCTTTAAAAAATTGTTTAAATAATTTAATTTCATTCAGAACTTTGGTTGTCATGACAAACGCAAGAAAACACTTATAAAAAATCTTCTTTTAAAAGACCCAAAGAGTTAGAGCTTAGATATTTGGCATGAAACATATACCAAGTTTGTTCAAATAAAAGCCTTGGGGATAAAATTGGCCCGCCACGGGGTGGGGGGGGGGGGTCGGGGCGTTATTGACTTTCCTTATATGTACATAGGAAAAACTTTAAAGAAATCTTCTATTATAAAACCCATATAGCTAGAGCTTAGATATTTGGCATGAAACGTCTTCTAGTTGGTGTTTACCAAGTTTATTCTAATTAAAGCCCTGTGATCAAAATTGGCCCCGCCATAGGGGGGCATTGATTTTCCTTATATGTATATATAGTTAAATCTTCTTTAAGAAAACCAAAGGAGCTAGAGCTTAGATATTAATCATGAAAAATCTTCTAATGGGTGTTTTCAAAGTTTGTTCAAACAAAAGCTATGTGGTCAAAATTGGATTGTCCTTGGGGTCATTGATTTTCGTTATATGTATATAGAAGAAACTTAAAAAATCTTCTTTTAAAAAGCACAAACAGCTAGAGCTAAGATATTAGGCATAAAACCTCTTCTAGTGAGGGTCTACCAAGTTTGTTTAAATAAAAGTCCTGGGGTCAAAATTGGCCCTGCCCCAGGGGGGATCATTGATTTCCTAATATATATATAGTAAAAACTTAAAAAATCTCCTTTTAAAAAACCCAAAATGCTAGATCTTAGATGTTTTCCATGAAACATCTTCTAGTGAGTGACTACCAAGTTTTTCACAAAATAAAGCCCTGTGGTACACTAATTGGCCCCGCCCCGTGGGGTCATTGATTTTCCTTATATATACACATCTTTTGGAACTGTTGTTTTCCCTTAGCAATAGCAATCAGTAACGTTTTTACACATGCACTATTTCAGGTATAAATATGAACTTTGTGATATCACTTTAAGAGTTAGATTTTATATCTGCTTTTGTTTCTAGTTTACAATATTACTTGTTCCCTGTGATGGAGAGGTTCTATATTCAGGTGAGCGATTTCAGGGCCATCATGACCCTCTTGTGGTACAGGAGAGAGTTTCATATAACCTTTAAGCTTTCAACTTAGTCCTGATTGTAATCTATGCATTGTAATTTTCTTTTGAAAATATTGAAAAAGAAATAAATCTTGTTTTTAACCCACTTTGTAAATAACTTGAAAATGGACATGTCAGGGAATTCGTATGGAAGCAAAAAGACCATTAGTAAAAATTCAAGTATAGCTGGTTTCTTTCAGAAACTGACTGATGTAATGGAGCCATTGAATGCAATGTGGTTGAGGTATCCGTCATAAAAATGAAGAAGAAGAGGGAAAAAAATCTACAATATTTTGTAATCATTGGTTATACAGTATGTGAAAATTTCTTTGGCACACAAGGAAAAACAGTGAACAGATCTCATTTGATCTGCACTTCCTTTTTTATAAATATGAAACAAAAATGAAATAACTTGTTTTTGACTTTGTCTGACTGGTATTTTCTTGAATAAAACATATACATAGAGGATATTTGTTTAGTTCAGTGTAATATCGGGATAAACATGCATTTCACCGAGTGAGCACCAAAAGGTATATATCACGAGTGGCGTAGCCACGAGTAAAATATGAACTTTTGGTGTTCACAAGGTTAAATATATTTCGATCTTACACTAAACTAAACAAATTTTCTTTTTATTATTTGCAAAGAAACGTTTAAAAAGAAGTCGATGTCATCATATATCATGTTATGAATGTAACAAGCTTATAGAACTTTAACAGAACTATATTTCAAAATTGATGTTGTGACGTCATGATGTGATGGCGTCATATCGGAAAATGCGCGACGTTTCGCGGCAAAATCAGTAAAAATCACTTAAAAAACCATGAAATAAAATGAAAATTTATTTGTTTTACATATAAGATTGAAATATATTTCACTGTGAACACCAGCTATTATATTTTCACTCGTGGCTACTCCAATCGTGAAAATATTGCATCTGGTGTTCATTCAGTGAATTATATGTCAATCTTACATGAAAACAAGCAAATATCCTCTAAATATCTCACTGATATATTTCTATAAACCACCGAAAAACATGTAATAAATATCTATAACATATTTTTCTCAGTTAGATTTTTTCACTGATTATTAAAAATGTTCATAATAATTATCTTATTAATGTTTTGTATTGGTCAAATGTTTCCCAGTAAATTATATGATTATATTTTGTGCATGTAAAAGTGAACTTTTTGTAAAACTCTGTTGTAAACCTTTTTTTAAACAGTAGTAAATCCAACATTTCGGGAAATGATTGTGAACCAGTTCATGAAGTCTGGTAAATTTACAAGCTCTGATTTAGTATGAAAATGGTAGGCATCGTGACACATACCCGGTCACAGTAAACATACATTGCATACAAATCATATCTGACTAAAAATGGCTAGGGATAAATTAACTTTGTCGTTAAAATCCGCATTAGATGACATTTGTATGAAATACTTCACCGTCCGAAATGTTTAATGAATTATAACATAAACAGTTTGTAAAAAAATTATGTTTGTTTATTTACTTTATTAACACTTTTTTAAATACAGACAATTACTAGTATACAATTGGATGTATAGACTTTAAACTTGGAACTTCCCTATAATAAATGAATATAAGTAATAGTGTGACTATTATAAGAGGAAAAGTAAACGATTAAAATCCTAAAAATGAAGCGACGTATGAACGATTGCACATACTGTTTCAAAAGTTTATTTTTATCAGCGTCTAAATAACTTGGTCGTTGAGCTTCCTTTCGTATGCAGTGTCCAGATAGAGGTAACGTTTCATTTCTCTCACTGGACACATTTTTTTTATTTTTCCTGTCTAAATTTGCTAAACTTGAAACATTGTATAAACTAAGGAGTTGAATTGTTTTGTAATCAAGAGTCTCGATATTTCGCTGATATGAGCATGATTAAATCAGCATTTCATACCACTTAACATGAGGAATTTTTTTACAAAATGAAATCGCTATCTAGAACAATACGGTTTATACACTGGCCTTACATAATAGTTAATATTAACTACGTGTCGATTTCCAAAAATGAAGATGATGCAAAGAAATGAAAGTTAATGCATGGCTGTCAACTAAATATTAATAATGAAACATGTAGAAAATTAAATCAGTTCATACTTCGAATTAAAAAAGTTGAACACGAAACTAACAGAACAAACAATTATTTTAACGTATATGGTACAATGAGATAAACAACATTTGAATTTAACGAGTGTCTTCAATATGATATTGAAAATAATACGTTAGCATCATCTTCTATATTTCTGAATTAAGTTACCATCAAAGAAACATATTTTAACTATTTTAGCAATAAGAAACCCTACACTTGATCATTTTAATAACGGAACATGTTAAACCTAAGTTATATCAGAGACCGATTTACTATGTTTTTATAATTGTTTTGATTTCAATAAATCATGCCAACTGTCCAGCGCAGTGTGACTTTAATGCACTCTGGTCCCTGCCAGAACTTAGCGTTCCCCAGTAATTGATGATCCCTAATATTACTTTTATTTTGTTATAAGGCGCTTCCTGCATTTAGGTTGGTCAAAACTGTCTTAGAATTAATAATTATATGCAAATGCAAGAATTGCCGCCTCTGCAAGGCGCAGTTGAAGTTTAGAATTCGGAATGTAAAGAACGAATCTTTTATGTTTCAATTTACTAAGTTTTGGGCACAGAAACCATTGTGCAGACAGTTTTGGGTTTTCTTGGCCTTCGTTCGGAAAAAATATTGTTTTTATAATTTTGTTCTAAAAATAATTATATTTATTATTGTTAAGATAAATAACATTGTATCATAGTTAGTTGCATTTTTAACTACACAAATTGATAATCTGTATTTCTATCAATTAATAAATTTATTAACATTACTAGCAGAAGGATTCCCACAATACTTTGTTAAATTCTATCGTAATTTGTTAATATGTATGTATATTGCTTACATGTTTTTTATGCCCCCGAAGGGAACCATAATATAATCGCACCGTCTGTCCGTCCGTCCGTCAGTCAGTCTGTCTGTGTGTCCCAACTTCATTTGTGTCCGGACTGTAACTTTGTCATACACTGAGGGATTTTAAAAAAAAACTTGGCACAAATGTCTACCACATTAAGACGATATGTCGCGTCCAAGAACCACGTCCCTACCTAAAAGGTCAAGGTCACACTATCAATTTGAAGTTTCACATTATCACAATAAGAGTACATAGGTACACGCATTCGTGTCCGGACTGTACTTTTGTCATGCATCTAATGATTTTTAAATAACGAGGCATAAATATCTACCACATCAAGTCGATGTATTGCGTTCAAGAATTACGTCTCTACCTAAAAGGTCAAGGAAACACTAACATTTTGAAGTTTCACATTATCACAATTAGAATTAGTAGATACACACAATCGTGTTCGGGCTGTAACTTTGTCATGCATGGAAGGATTTTAGAATAACTTGGCATAAATGTCTTCCACATCAAGACGATGTGTCGAGTCCAATAATCGCGTCCTTACTTCAAAGGTCAAGGTCACACTAACATTTTGAAGTTTCACTTTATCACAATGATAATTTGTGTCTGGAGTGTAACTTTGTCATGCAAGGAAGGATTTTAAAATGAATTGGCATAAAATGTTATGTCTACAACATTAAGACAATGTGTCGCATCCAATAATCATGTCCCTACCATAATGGTCAAGGTCACACTAACATTTTTAAGTTCATTTTATCACAATTAGAGTTTATAGGTACACATATTCGTTTCCGGGTTGTAACTTTGTCATGCATCGAAGGATTTTAAAATAACTAGGCTTAAATGTATACCACACCAAGACGACATGTCGCGACAAAGACCTATGTCCCTTCCTTCAAGATCAAGGCCACACTTATAGTTTGAACGAGAAGAGTTTGAAGACACACATTCATGTCCGGACTGTAACTTTGTCATGAATGGAAGGATTTAAAAAAAAATTGGCACAAATGTCTACCACATTAAGACAATGTGTCGCGGCTAAGTCTCATGTCCGAAAACCACGTCCTTTCTTCAAAGGTCAAGGTCACACTTATATATTGAAGGTTCATACTATCACAATTAGAGATTACAGGTACAATAATACAAAGAACAATATTCAGCAATTATTTTTTTCATTCTATTTTCTTTTCATAACACCTGCATGCTTAAGAAACCTTTTCGGGGGACGACAGCTCTTGTTGTTTTTATGTAAATATTGTAGTATAAATGTTTAACTTTCAGATAACCGCTTTAGTTATACACTATACTCCTAGCGCTATATTCTTTATGATATAAAATGTATGATAGATATGATTCTGGAATAAAAGTGTAAACATAGTGAGTGCATTACATCTTTTTGTTTGCCCAAACACTTACTGAAGCTGCCCACTAAGGATGTGTCGTTGTGTCAAAATCATCCACGTAACCCAGTTGAAGGGAACACTCGTATAAACGTGTACTCTAAGCCACGTAGTTTACACACACAAAGGGCAGCCGTCACAAGTAAAAATGTCACAGTTGTTAAACGTAAAACCATCTGTATTACATGTAGATAAAGTAAAAAAAACAACACGAAATCTTAAATTTCAATATATTTATTAACATACGCAAAACTATTTGTTAAAAATAAAGTAAAATATTTAAAAATATTAGAAATTTTAACTTTTTTGTGTACATACGTAGACGCCACCCGTATTAAATAAAAAAGAATATTACTTTATTACATTTATTAGAGTTTTGAGCAGGTAGGAACATTCTGATATAAGTAAATGTTTGGTACTCATTTTAGGTATTGCTTGCTGTTATGTTGGAGACGCATTTAAAAAGCTATTAATAGCATGATATGTTATTAATGGAATAATAACTAATGCAACTTACAGGGCAGACATATCCCAGCAAACACATGACGTTGTATCAACGTTGCTCAGACGTTAGAGTCCGACGTTAGATGGACGTTGGAATTTAGTTGTATATGGAAGTTTTTAAGACGTCAGAATCCGACGTCAATCCAACGTCACAAATGACATAAAATCAACCTCTATTTAACTTATATACAACTACTTTCCGACCTATTCCCAACGTGAATCCAACCAGTTTCCAACATGATTCTAACCAGTTACTGACGTAATACAAACTAGTTTCCAACGTAATTCCAACCAATTCCTAACATAAATCCGACCCGTTTTCATGACATAATTCCCAAGAGAAACAATATACAAAACTTTCTAAACTGGAAAAGTGATTTTATTATTTGATAAATTTAAAAGTAATCATAAAAACAATTAAACAAGATGTTTATCACAGTTTCTAATTTGTCTATTTATGTAAAACTTACTATAAATATATATTGCCAACACATATGTATAACATTAAAGAAGGACTCACTTTTAATCATTTATAGTGATAGTTCAATAAAGTTTGATATTTATAAAATGTATAATTATAAACTATCAAAAACAAAAACTATAGTAGCTACGTGTCTTTTTAAAATTTAAGTTCAACATTTATCAAACCTTATTCAGTCAATACAATAATGCAAATTGTCTAATCCAAAATTATAACAATCAGCAGTCAACAATCATTTTCATTTAAAGGTGCATTAACTATCATGCCAAAGTATTCATGTTTACAACATGCTTTAAAAGGATTTTCTTTTAAATAACTCATATACAATGGAAATTATAGAAAAAAAAAACGTTTCTTTTGCAGTTGATTTCATTGATTTTCATCGGATAAGTATGGGAAAATATTCCTTTCTGTCAGAATTATGTGAAAACACAAGGCAATAAATTTTTACCTTTAAGAAAGAAAGTACTTTTTTATCTCGATCCTTCTAAAACGAACTTTAAAGTATTAAATTTGGAGATATACTCCTCCATGTGAATAATTCTGGTATACTAAATATTCACCACTGGATCCTGATTATTTTCATCTACGAAGATACTGTGTCAAATAACTAAAGCATGTTGAATGTGTTTTTAGGTTCCACTTGTTTTTTTCTCTCTTGAAACTGCAAAAAAAAAAAAAAAGAAACAGAAATAAATGAGTGTAAATAATAACCAAAATGGTCTTATATCAATAATATGGAATTAATTTTTTCTCATAGATTACCTTAGCATATCATAAATGAAATGTCGATTGATGATGTAGAACTCTCAAAAACTTCAAATATAAGTAATTTGCATAACAGTAACATGTTAATGCGTAAATTCAATAAGACATTTCCGTAATTATTTTACTTTTTAATAACAGTTAATTTTGACAACAACAAAATCAAAATCCATATATTACCTTTGATGTCGGACTAATCATTCTTTTATGTCCAAACTGTGTTTTCTGTCGACTGTTTTTCATGTATATAAATATATACATTCTTATCAGTTAATTGTCATCAAACATTATATATACAGATACAATGTAATTGAATATCAAGAAAATATATATTTCTAATTATGTTTCAGTAATCGTACTATGCATAATCCTGTATGTTTTGTGATTGATATTGTTACAATGTGTATGTTTTTCTTCTAGTTTATGCTTAATGAGGGTCCATCCGCCCTTTCGGGCACAAAATGCAGCTTTCGCTGTCGAGTACGGACCCTGGACATGTCACCAGTCATGCCTTTAAAGAGTTAATTTCGAAGCACAAAGTGGTGATAGTTTACCTCCATGCAATTTCCACGGAGTATTAGCCAAAGATATGAATTTTGAGCCAAAAGAAGGTCACTGTACGGCGGTCAATGAGAACCGAAATGTACAGGAACCTGTGACAATATGAAAGGTTAGCCCTGAAAAGGGCTGTTGGTGCCAGCAAAAGGCCTGCCTTACAAGCCGTCTATCTGTACTAGGGGCTCACGCACCCTAGCACACCATCCTCGTCGTCTAAGCCTACTTTGTAGCGCCTCGGCATTAGTCAGGACACCGGCAGCTGGTCCGCAGTTGTTGACGAAGTAGCGATCCCGTTGTTACAGCCTACGGGGGGCTTCTATTTAGTTGAGTTGTGTTTTCTACCAGCCAAGCTGTTAATCTTCTGCCGATGCCCTGTGCCTTCTCAGCGACGTGCACGCTCCGAGGGGAAGTGAGAAGACTGTGTGTATACCATACTTGCAAAAAATTATATATGTAATAATAATAAATAAAACAATTTTCAAACATCGAAGAATATGTAAAATGTGTACTGCAAATATTTGTGCACATTATATTTAGTCAATAATTAATATGCATTCATTTCTTACTGGAAAATTTGACTAAGAATTTATAGAAAATAAATTTCTAACTACCTCCCTTTATTTACATGAAATGTTGAATTCGGTAATATCTTTATAAGTAATGCTTATTGGAACTTACAATATTGACAAATCTTAATTTGAGCATCATATTTATGAAATAAAACCATGAAAAAAATGTGTTACAGGATCTTTAATACTAATTTACCTTCAAAAAATATTCACTTACTTTTCACCTTTTCACTATGTCAGCTGTCTTCTATAATGTCCTTTGTCTTTGTTTAAATTTGAAAACAAGTTGTTGTAGTAGCCTCGTTTTGAAATTCATCAAGTTTCCATTATTTTTCTATTTATTTGAAATACAAATTGCGTTCCTTTTTATGGTCTAGTATAACAAAATATATAATAAAACAAACAATGGTGGGGGGGGAGAACAAAATTCGATTGATTATCTTGAACTGAAATTAGAGCCACCTGTTGGTTTATATTTAAAAAAAGCGAAATAACTCAATTAAGAATACTATGTTAGATTACACTGAAAACTGACGTCGTACCGACGTTATTCCAACATGTTGATACGATGTCGCAAAAACAACGTTGTTTCAACGTTGTATTTAGAATTTTGACGTCGTGACATATATCCAGAGTTTTGCTGTGATGGAACGCTGATGACCCTAATAGACTCTAGAATTCTCTCTTTCTCTTTTTAATTGAAACATTTCTTCGTATTTTGCACATTGAAAGAGATATCATTTGCAGAGCTAAATAAGTAGTAACATTTAACATTTAGTAAATCATATACATGTATGTGTAGGTCAACAAAGCTAACAAATAATTTCATCTCGGAGTCCGTTTTTTAACAATTACAACCTGACGAAAATAATTTTCAGCTTTATAAAAGTAAAAAAAATATAGGAGAAACGGGATTGTAGTAAACAGTGTTAAGAGATTTATCAGCGTTTCAGTTTATCTGTTGGTCATGTAGGTCATGGAAGTTCAGTGAACCTTATGTAACGTGTATGCATGTAAAGGTAAGGGTAAAAGCATATTATGTGTAGATAGACTATTGATATAACAATGGAAGGTGCAGAAAAAAAGATTGATGAAAAATATCCTATGAGAATAGTAGCAGAAAGATGTTTCGAAGGAATTTTAATGTAGCAATGTGAAGCTGAAGAATTTGAAACTATGGAAACTAGAGCAGACAACATTTGGATATGCACCTATCCGAGGTCAGGTGTGTTATTTTCATTTGTAATACTTTTTTTAAAAATGCAAAAGCATTGAAGTTATCAAATGGTTATACTTTTTAAATTACGACAAAATGCAAAAGTACAGAAATAATGAAACGAGTATTTGCATCATTTTCAAGTAGTTCAACTGGATTATAAATATTCAAGGTTCCGTTAAAATGTATGCTTTATCTGATTAAGCCAGGCCATCAAAACTTACATATTTTTAACATATTTTCATTTTTACACTGTGTTATATCTATTTTTTTTAATTTCACAGAAACAATATAACTAAAACATGAACACGGTAACATTCAATAAATGTTTTTATGAAAATAATAATAATAATAATAATAATAATAATAATAATAATAATAAATAATTATAATAAATGACTTCAAAAATTACAAAAAACAAATCACAGGCACTCACGCACACACACAATTATTTTACAAAAGTATACAGTGCATCACGAGATCCGAGACTCGAATCTTCTTTGTATTTGTTTACATAAAGAGTTGATTATTGTATTTGTTATTTATATAATATGGGTACTACAATGACGATAGAGTTAGTTTACTTGATTCAAACATTAGACTTTGAAACAACAAACAACGTTCAACTAGAGGCTAGAGTTCCATTCCTCGACTGCAAAGATGACAGATTTCCGTACTATAAAGGTACTGTTTATAAGGCTTATAATAAAATAGTGATAGTTTCCAATCCATAAAATTGCCGCGGTCGAAAATGTTTATCCCATTTTTGTAACATGTAATGTCAAAAGGACACATCTTAAGTTCTAATCTTATAACTTATTTTGGATGTGAATGGACATTTAATTTAATCGGACACATTTATATAAAATGATTTTGTTCAGTACAAAGATTTTAAAGTGACATTATGCACATCCATGGGTAGATATTGAGTGAACAGGTGAAAGTCAAAAAAAGTTATCACTTTCTCAAAATTTCTTTCAATTTTATAATTTACTTCACGTGAACGATAAATAACTCACTAAGCCCTGTGAAATGTGTGGTATTATCCGTCGGAATGTATCTGTTACTTTCAATTTATGAAAAGGGTGGGGCAATCTTTTAATATATTAGTTTTTTTTTACCCTAAACATTTTTAAATATGATGTGTTGGTCAATCACCATTATAACGACCAATTTATAGAGAATAATAGGTTCGTGCCGTGGATCTGGCGAGACGGAGGAATTTATTGGGTGAGCCGAAGGCGAACCGAATAAATTCCGGCGGAGCAGAGCCAGATAAACTTTCTCCATCCACGGCACCAATCTATTATTCTATTTATCCTGTCACCGTTTTTTTTTTAAAGAATTTTATCAGCCAAACTACCTTTAATCACACTATCGAAAATGTTTCTATATATACAAAGAAGGCCCGAAGCGTGTATTATTCTACAACAATGCACTCGCCGTTCTAATTATCTCGCTGTGTATTTTCACATTGAGGGCGCCATTTTGTTTGAAAAATGTGATACATAAAAACAATTTTTTTGTCGAATTTTGTTGTGAAAACTAACTAAAATGAAAGAAAATGGTCTAACTAAGAAAATTAATTCGAACACCAATATCTTTTATTCAGTCGTTAACGCTGTACAGACGTTTATAGTATTGTTTACGTGACGTCACAATGTAGCGCCAAACAGCACGTGCAAAACAATCAAATCAAGTACGCTATTTTAATGTCGCAAATTTTTTATTTCGCTTGAAAAACTATAGAGTGAAATAAAATAAACAAACAAAGTTTTATCAACGTTTCGAAAATTCGTTATTCTACACACATAAGATTTAACGACAGTTTTTTTTCATACCACTGGAACGGCCTGTAAAGAACATTTCTATTGGAAACTCTGAGGCGAAAACAAATTTAACCACCAAACATAAAGTCCAACATTATAATAATAATTATATTCTTGAAAAGTAGTCCGGCAAATATGCATACCACGTGATCAAGTGCCGTAGATCAGTAAAAATATACGGCACCTTGTTATCGGGCCGAAATTGATACAAGTGACAGGATAAATTGAAATATATAGTCAATTCAAGTCAATTTGACAATGAAAAACTGAGCATAATGTCACTTTAAGTAAAACATATTTACTAAAATTTAATCTGTCATGGGTCGCAGGAGGGGAATCAACCGCTATATGAATGTATTACTTACATAGAGGATATTGAATGAGTGTTAGTTCAATACCTAATTTATTGCACGAGTTGAATAAAATTATATTATGCGAGCCTCTGGCGAGCATAATATTTTTTTATTCAACGAGTGCAATAAATTCAGTAATGAACTTACACGAATTTAATATTCTATTAATCACATACCAAAAATAAAGACCGTTTAAGATGAAATAAGAGTCATATTTCATTGACGCGCCTATAGTATAACGCTAACATTTAGCACGTCTTTACACTATGTTTGTATAACGCTAATGACGTCACGTCAAAATATATGCACGGCCGTGCAATACCATATTTACGGAGTCGCAACATCGGCACGGGTGTGTGATAAAACAATTTTTGATATTTATTGTAAACTACTTCTTTGATGAGATAAACTCTATTTACATCGATAATACAAGGTGTTTTTAACAATTGATATTAATAATTAAATGATAAAGCTGGATTTATGCCGGTGACTAACACAGGAAGTATTCAAAATATACGAAAAAATGTTCTTAGAGTTTCATAATAGAAAACAATGTAATTTAAAAGTATATTTGTTAATTCTACAAAAACGAGGAACTAACAACTTTGAGAAAGGAAATGCTCTGTATGCCATTAAAAGGATGAATTTTCAACAGTATTACACCTTTACCAAATTTGTTTTAAATCATAAGTAGCGAATAATATTTCCTGTTGTCAGGAAAGAAGACAATAGACGGAATGAAATCACCAAGGATGATAAAAACACATCCCCATCATTTTCTTCTACCCGAACAACTCCGGAAAGGCAAAGGGAGCGTCAGTATAGATTTAAGCTACTATATGTTTTCAGAAATTAACGATATATGACTAGTAGGACAATGGTAGGTATGTTCAAAAGTTATTCTACGTGTCATATATCCCTATAAAGTTTTACTGACAAATTTTCATCGAAACCAAGCAAAGCATTAGATAAATGCACTTAAATTCAACAAATCTTATCTGGCATTGAAATCAAATTAATCAAATTCTAGGCTTATACAATAAACGCAATGTTTGATTCGCCGAATTCAAAATCGTCGTTACTGACTTATGTTTCTAAAATACAGTATAAATGACTGTGTTACTAATGGACATTCTGGAAGTAAATAGGACTAAGTGTTTTTTCTTCTTTGTAGTTGATATCTGCAATAATATTGAATGGTTGCAGGTTTGTTTGCCTATCTCTTTTATGCGTTGTTTTCAGACTTCTCGTCCTTCCAGTAGTATTCTGATATGGTAGAAATTATGATAGTACGATTTCCTAATAAAAACATTCTTGTACATCTGATACACAGATTGACCTCTTTTAGATATGGAAGGGCCTGTTTAATAATATATGCATACTTTGCTGGACCAGGTTACAACAAATTTAGATTGTTTACTAGTTGGCAACAAAGCATGCAAGTATGAGCGAACGAAATTTGAACTTTTTAAAACTTAATACATCAAGAAGTATCTAATAGAGCTTTCCTGTCGTGGTTGACACAGTTTAAATGTTCTACGTAATTTCTGAAACAGTTTTGCCAGAACAAACACTCGGTCTGGCCTAATTATGAATAAGTACTCCAAGATTTGTTTGTACTATAATTTTAGAAAAAAAGTATATAAAAAATATTTTTTAAAACTTTTCTCATACAAACATGTTCTTACTTTTTCAGTTTATTTGTTCTTAACACGAAAATACTTATTTACTTTTAATATAAAATGAATGTTTTATTGATTTCTTTTTTCATCGTTTCAAACATAATGCTTTTTGTTTAAGTAGATTTGCTTCTAACTCTTTATGTGGAAGCAAAATAACACTTGCACTGGGATTTAGTAAAAATGCGTCACTAGGCCTTATAAGAAAGGGTTATTATGATCTATGGAAATCCTAATTAATTTCAAGCTGTTTGGTGTACATGTATTTTACAGGATGTACATGCCAAAAAAAAAAAAATACAGACAGCGTTTCCTAAAAATAATCTGAAAGACACGTATACCTTTTGACATTGTTATATAAGAATATGAAACATATCGTGTCTTCGATTTTGAAAAAAAGTGTCTTTTTTTTCTTCAGATAATATATATGTACCGCAACCCGAAAGATGCTGTTATTTCCCTATTCAAATTATTTAAGTGGACACATCAACTTGACGGGGGAGAAAATATGTTTGGTCGATTTTTTGACAGTTTTGTCGATGGCAAAGGTATGGTGGCATATTAGGTTTGTATCGGTATTTCCTTCTTTCTTAGAGTCAGTCAAAACAAGTTTTATTTTTCTATAAGTAATCTATAAAATATAGAGAGTGTTCATTCAAAATAAGTTTTTATGATTTTAACAAACCAAAAAAATAAATATTTATTATTTTCTAATTTTATCTATGAAATATAGTGCAAACAACAAATATGAAATAATGAAATACACATTTGAAAGTGTATTTTGTCCCTGGTAGCCTTTAAATTGTATGCATTCAAAGTTTTGTTTGTTTAGTTTCCTACGTTTTCCTGAATTAATTCGTTAATCATTGCAACGTCATATCTTTGCTTTGCCCTTGTGTCCTATGCTGCATTTCTTTGATGTTTTGCTGAGTTTACATGGTTTAGTGTAGGTGACTTTGTGTCGACTGATTTAGTCGCGGCTGCGTTTAGTTTTCCTTTCGCTTTCCTTGTTGATCTTTGTTCTCATATTTTAAAATGTTTTGGGCAATAAAATCACGGCTTTAACAGGAAAATGACAAACGGCAGTGACCAACCCTGAGTATAACTCTATCATATGTACTCAATTTTTTATATGATGTGCCTTTACATAAATTTATTTAAGCTTATGCATGTCCGTGTCCGCAGCATGTTCTTGGATATTGGGAAAAGAAAGATGAACCTCAAGTTTTATTTCTCCGATTTGAATATGTTGTCAAAGTAAGTTTATAAATGTAAAGCACACTTTGAACTTGAAGCGTTTAGATACGAAGGCTAAAAGTACATTTGTATTATTATCCTGTATATATATAGGTCTTTATCTTGAAATATTTTTTATATCAGATATATAGAGTTAGTTTATATATATACTGTATATGTATTATAATTCATATTTATCATCTCTTACTAATTGTTCATACAAGGCTTTAATTGTAAATATATTGATTAAAATAAATGTTTCCTTCCTATTATTGCAAAAGAAAAGCCAAACAATTAAAAGATAATTGTACAACTTGCAAGTGATCACAATTTGACAAGCTTACTATGTCGGACATTATAAAAAATGAAATAATTGAACTCTTACCATTCTTCGACATCTTCAGAATGAAATCTATCTTTGTCATAAGTGACTGATGTTAGTTTTTGTATCAAGATTTTATTGGACAAATGTTGGAAAATTTGTTATGTTTATGGTTATGTTTTTCTTGTATTCTTGGTACCTCCCCGCAGGTCCCGTGCGATTTTCTGCCGATGGAGAATATCGCTCACACTGACACACTTACTTGAAAACATTCGCAATTGTTAGATTTTATTTCCTCACAGGATATGCCTGCCGCTATCAGACGTATAGCCATATTTCTTGGACGTACATTAACAGATAAAAATGTTGCCGACATTGCCGAGCATTGTAGTATTGAGAAAATGAGGAATAATGAAGAAGTTAATTACTCATACTGGCAAGATATAGGATATGTCGACTTTAAACCAGAGGAAAGTCATTTTATAAATAAAGGTAGATATCAAACAAAATATATATGTTTTAAATAGGTATTACTAATTGATAACATACGTATTTAATAAAGTTAATCTTAGAAGCTGTATTTAACTGTAATAATTAATTCCCTTTTATCAAGGGTTTTAAACAATTCTGTTATACTGCTTTTTCTTTTAATAAAATAAGTAAAATGGTTACACCAAGGGACTTTTCAATACATATTACAATTTATCTTTTTTATTATTACAAAATGTATGTGTTTCAGATCAGTCGCCTGTATAAGTTTGGATTTGTGCATCAGACAAAAAAAGGTTTCTAGATTAAATACAGGGAAATAATTACAAAACTGTTCCATATAGAGTGTTACGGTTTTAGTCATTGTACACATTTTAGATGCCATCTATTTAATACTTAAGATAGTTTTTTAAGAGTATCTTCCTTAAAAGTGAGGTACAGAAAAATGGACATACTGCAGGGCAGACGGATGGACTGAGACTTGAACCGTATTTCCCACCGACATTTTGGCCGGTAGGAGGGAGAGGACAGGGAGTGGGTGGTGTTCAAAGTTGTTGCAATTTAATGTAAAGACTTTCAGGCTTAGCCAATTATTTTGTTTTGAATCCTGGCAATAGGCTAATAAATGGATAATGACACCTCTTTTGATTGTGTGCAGTTAGTATCATATAAAGAAATTAATTTGTTGGAAATTAATTATTATTCTTTATATAATTCAGGTCAGCCTGGTACATGGCATGAGACATTAACGCCAGAACAAAACGCCAAAATGGACAAGCTTATTAAAGAAGTTGAGGACGCTGGTGTGACTGTTGTACATACTTGAAGTATTAGATTGATAACTTTGATAATAATGTCTTGTATATTTGTACATGATTAATGAACACAATATTAATACATAAATACATGTGTACAATGTACACACAAATATATTGGAGCATTTGTGATTACTTTTATAATCAATTTATATGTATGTATGTTTTTTTTACTGGATCAATTTGTTTGACATAGGACATGCGTTAATATCAGTTCAAATCCTATTTATTTAAATGTCCACTAGAGTGTCAGTAAGTAAAAAAGGTTTACATACCACCTTGATAATCATGAGCGGAAGAGACTACATATTATGCAGAACAGACCAAAATATACTCTAGCCCTCAACAAGCCCTAAATTTTGTCATACAGTTTGAATAAAAATATTATGTCTTGTTACAAATAAACATCAAATGAAACATTTGCATTTTTTAAATTTTTGATTTTGTTCTTTATTGAAAACAAACTTCATAAAGCTTTACTATTTAATCACCAACTGGTAGGTGTTTTGATAAGCTCTACAAATACTCTCCAAAATCGAACGGTTTCATACTTTAACTGACGAGGTAAACCGATCACATAATTCGGATGCATTTTCAGATTAGGTGAAATAAAGAAATAACACTTGCCCTTTGAAAAAGGATAGTGTCTATAAATCAAAATATTTATCATTCAAGATTTGGTAAGTAGTTTAAAAATCCCATCCCTTTTAACTGTAGTGAATGTCTTTGAGAGTGAATGTCTGTGATTAGTGAATATTGCATAAAAAATGGTATAAAAATCAATGAATTAATAAATAAATAAATAAACATACAACCAAAACAAAAACGATTTTTGAATTTTCTTGAATATTCCATAAAAATGGCCATAAATAAATAAATAAATAACTAAATAAACTAATAATGAAGAAATAAACCATTCAGGTATAGTTAGAATGAATAGTTACAAAGTTTGTTTCATGTATACAGTTAAACACTTTTCAACACTTTTTTATTATATTTTTATTAACATTCGTGTTACACTACGAGTAATGGCAATATCAACGTAATCTGATTGGAAAAAAGCGTTTTGTGCCTCATTGGTGTTTTAGTCTTTTGAGGAGCGATATTACATCGAGCTATTTGCATAAAGAAAAATATTCGTGCTGAGTGTATAATTCTAAAATAAGTTTAAAAACATCTCTTATAGTAAGTAATGATGTAAAAGCCATATGTCGGCCTTGCAGATCTGATGGTACAGGAATACCTCAGTTACCCTTCCGTGCATTATTTTAAGGCACGAAACGGCATCTGACTTGAATCACCGACGCTCTGTAAGCTAGCTTGATAGCTTCCTGCTTTTGTCCCTGGTGAGACTCGATTCCACAGCAAAGAGGGATAACTGGCTTAAAGTCAACGAATGTTACCACTCGGCCATGGACGCTACAAAGCGTAACAACTCTAGCACAGTACTGTCTGTGTTTTTGTAACAGTTATAGAACATACATCTTGTACATTTAAAGCCGGAAGCAAATTCCTTTAAAATACACCACCAGTAACACTAGATCTATTGCCTAAAACCATGTCTTCTTTTCTATTAACAAATATCCACCAAGACATAACAAAATGTAACATAACAAACTTTTTAAAGCCGAAGAAAAAAAATCTGTCAAATGTAAACTTTTGTTAAATTTTAAATATTTTAAAATTGCATTCATTCATCTAGTTTTTTTTTTTGTCAAGTAGAATATTTTCGTTGGCATGAACATTTTATTTTGAAGTGTGCCATGAAATGGGTTCAATTTGAAAGACAAAAGTCAAAGATAACCGATATCATCAGCACAATGAATTGCAGAAGACATAGGGGATGAAAAAATATCCTTATGACAATAGCAGATAGACGATTCAATATGGAATTTTAATGTGGCAAAGTGTAAGCGGAAGAATAAGAAACTATTAAAACTAGAGCAGGCAATATCTGGATATGTACTTTTCCTTGGTCAGTAGTGTTTTTATATTTAACTTATTCCGTCTTCACACACACACATGATATTTTCGTTTACTAGAGACTATTTGTATGATGTTTCATGTTTGCACTTTGTTTTCTTTTCTGTATGTTTTTTTCTTAAACTGATTCATGCTTCAAGTATTGGGTAACTGCAAAAATGACATTTCCAAAAATGTCAGGGATCAGATGAAATTTTGATGGTGCATTCAGGATTCAAGGTAAATGGTACACACATCACTAAGCTGAAGTATTGATAAGAAAATGAAAATTTTACTATTACTTATAGCGAAACCAGTTAATGATACTTTTACATGAGCATGTTTCGGAGTTCAATGAGGTGTTATCAAAATGTCGCCAGTCAAAATAAGCCCCATTTGATTGATTGATTGATTGATATTCATATAAAATTGATTGATATTCATATAAAATTATAATAGTAAGTCTTTCAATATCAACACAGATTTTATCCGTCTACCTACACTTCATTCGGAACCACCTCGTCGACAACCAAAAATCTCTTGACGCATTGAAAATACCATGCTACTTTTAATGTAAAAAGACGGACTCTATACTCTTGGCATAATGAGAAACGAGTGTATATAAAAATATATTTCAATGCGAGTGCATTACAATTATAATATGATTGTAATCAGGGTCAATCAAAGAATATTGCTATGGCAATAACCAAATTCAAAATCTCCAATATGCATGTCTTTTGCAATATTCGTGTCTAAATGCATTAAAGCATCAAATAGATGAATATGTTAGTTTTGTTTTAAATCTTAATTTTTACTTTATTTAGTCAACGTTTTTAAAAAGCTTGTTTACATTATTCAAATTCATAGCGAAAGTAAGTCCGAAGTACAGTTTTCCCTTAGTCTCATCATAATATTGTGTACGAATTCGCTATCAGAATTCTGACGGAAAATGCCAAGAAGTTGCGACTGTAAGTGTCCGATGCGCGATTGTAAGTGTCCGATTGTGTTCACCTTGACGTCATTAAATGTTGTGTTTAATTTTGATAATCACACTGTATTTGTTATACGAAAATCGGGCACCGAATAGTAAATATACGCTTAAAAACAGCGTTTTTGAAACATACCAAAATTTCTTTTTCGGAGCATGCTGTCACACAATGCCTCAGAGAACACTCTCCTTTTAACTTGCAAAGACTTCAGCAGAAACGTTCGTAAATTTCTCTATGGTGACCCATCTCTTACATACCAGGACAACGTTATTATATTTACAAATGTACAAAATTATATAGAAAAAAACGAAAGATTTACTTAGATCCATTCTTATTGAGACTATAATCCTCTCTCACCCTCTTCCTACTCTTTCCCACTATTTTGTTTTCTTCTTTTATATATATTCTTACATTTTAGACATCTACTTGCAATTTAATTATTCTATATAAGTTTATATATAAAATTTGATATATATTTTTATCTGTGTATAATTAATACTTATTCCCTTGTCTAGTATATACTTACTATAAACTTATTTAAGACAAACCATATAGTTGGCCAAAGGAGAAGAATTCTATAAGACTTGTCTTTCATTCTCATCCTTTTCCATTGTGTAAAAATGTTTTGTTTGTTATATATTTGTATGTACATTATATATACTTTCGGGAATAAATATGTTTAAACTAAAACTAGCGTTAGTGATATACCTTATTTTGCCTTGTTAGAATCGAAATAACATTGGTCATTTTTAACTCATTTAAGAATGATCTTATTTCCAAGACATAATATGAAAATATGATACCTAATTTTCCTCCATTTTGTGCTCTTTGAACTACTTAAAATATCATGCTTTTAGAGCCAATTGTGAACACAACTAGCATTTTCAATAAACAAGTTGAACAGTAATAAGTATTCTAAAACAAGACAAAATGATTTCTGTTTATGTTTCCCCTAATTTTATATAAAGAAGGACAGGAAGAGCTTTCAACAACTTCAAGCGTCTTACACACACGTCCGCTACACAGAATAACTGTATTATTTTGAGTGTCTGTTAAAATAAACAATGATATTCACGCGATGTTTCTTTTTACATTAAGTGTTTAATATTCTGATTGATATATATGAATATATACCACCCGCAACATGTTACAATTGAAAGACATATTGACACCGAAAATGAAATAACAAACCAAAGAATAAATGTGATTATTGTTTAAGTAAGCCCTTAAAGTGTTTCCTGTTGCAAGAAAATATATCAAGAGTCATTTGAATAGATGAAATTAGATTTGTCAACTCATAATTGTCGTTCAAATTCTCTTTTAAAGGCACTTGAAATATGTTTGAGCGAGTGTTTTGTCAGGGGTTCAAGGTTACACGAACGGTCAAATTTATCAACGAATTTTGAACGTTTATATGTTATGCTTGAAGGATACTGTGATGCATCAAAGTAATGAACTAACCCAATGTTTTGTCGTGCGCCGGTATTGCGTTACCAACGTAACTGTATGACGATTCGTCTTCACCACGGCCTTTTCTTTTGTTTTCTTATATGAGAAAGATTTTCCCTTCAAGTGATATATAATTCATGCATTTTTTATCAATAACTCTCACGACAATAACTGCAGTGCACGAAAGTTTTTGACAACCCTTGTATTGTATGATTGAAACAAGTCTAAATCATTCATTGGAAATGTTCTTTAATGTTTCCAGAGTTCGCTGTGACAACTTTTATTGTGAAATCTTAACGCCCTAACCTGACCCAAGATTTTATATGTCACATGAGCGGTAAAAGCTACGAGATAACCTAAATTGTAACTTACAAACGATTTTGAGAGTGAAGTATTGACTGAAACAAAGAGAATTGAAGTGGCGGTTTTATTGTGTCTGTATATGAGAGATAATAAAAGAAACAAAATATATCACTCCCTGGAGCGAAATGTTAAGCAAATCTGTTTAAAATCAGCTACTAAATAACAATACGCATTGGATCTGATATCCACCAATAGGTAGTCACCTTCTTGTGGTCTTCAAAACAGCCAATCTGTGGCGAGCTTTCATTATTTTGAAAAGCGATGCGGATTCTAATTCTAACCCTTGGAAAACCAATACGTTTATATACTGAGTGGGTAATATCACGATTTCGAGAACACAAATGGCATCGCGAAATTAAAAGTGTCACATATCATGTAATAGATATAATTTATATACACAGGCGAAGTTGTTGAAACGTGAACAAGTTACAAACAACAACAACAATAATTATGTTAAAATCATTTATTCAAGAACCATACATTGAAAGCAAGAATCAGTTTAATAAATGGTTCACAGTGGTCAATAATTAACTGTTAAGATGCTTAAGCGAATGTATCACGTATTATCTTAACAAGACCTTCATAATTTTGATCTGTACATTTATTTAATTTTACCAATGAAATATGATGATCACTCAAATATACTTCATTGTTGTTAAAAGCATATATGAAAAATAATGGGTGGAGTCAAAATTAATAACTACTCTCATATGCTTTTTCCTAGCAGCTATAGCTTTAGTAAATTTTTTTACATCATCACAAATTATTATGACATTTCAATTTTTTTAATACAGTTTAGATGGCGGATATAGTTTATTGATCAACATTCAATTATAAAATCATAAGAAACTAATACTC